ATCGATGAAAACTGGGGTTATTCGATCAGAGTCAATGAATGGTTGTTAGAGAAGACTATAATGAAATGGCGGTCGATTCCATTCTACGTAAATTCGACATCTCATAACCAGTGGATTGTCTGCCTCTGATTAATATGATTCTAGTATGTAAAAACTAACAATCAAAATCAATAAAATCAATCATCCATATAGAAATTATTGTCGAGTTAATCTTTTAATGGGCGAATTTTGGATCGTCAAGTTCTGTCGATCTTGATGGTGCAGTCAGGTAGATCGTGATCTAGATTCCCATGCATGAGAGTTAGATTGACAATACTGGAGTAGTGAGCGTGTATCTGGATACAATACAAAAAATTGCTACATAAGAATGTGAGTAAATTGATAGAAAGTATCGTTAAAAAGATGATTCAAAGGAAGAATATGATAATTCTCATTCCTAGTCAGAGAAATAAAGATCGAACAATAATAAATCATTAGCATTGTATGTCTAATAGAATTAGGACAAAAAACACATTTGTCGGTTTTGTGATTGAATCTACATAGAAGAAACTAAGAATTGGTGTATGCGACTGGCTAATCGAAAGGAGAAATTCGTAAGTTTATTTAATGTTAGTTGAAAAAAAGGGAGAAGAAACGTATGAAGAACAATGTTTGAAAAGCAATTGAGATTTGATTTTCTTTTCTTTTTTGAATATTTCATAGATTAATTCTATTGACTTTTTATTCGTATGAATAACAAATGAATGATTTTGTTAATGGTTTGGTAACTCGATTTGATGGTTTGACGTGTTCAACATGAGGTATTGATGGTATTATTACTGTTTGTTGTTGTTCAGAATAAGAATTTGTTACTGTTACAAAAAACCATTGTCATCATCAATCTTTTTGACTATTTTATTTTGAATCAGTTTTATACTGATAAAATCAATATCTTTTCTCTTCTATTAATTGATTCTGTTTAATCAAAATACTCAATAAAAAAAAGAAAAAAGAACAGAAATTCGAATCTAATCTATGAAGCTCTTGAAGGTGGGGTTCGGTGTGGGGTGGGTGTGGATGTGTGGGTGTGGGTGTGGATGGGCGTGGCTGTGGTTGTGAAACTTATACCAATACCCACATCCACATCCACACCCACCATGATCTTCCTCAGGGATCGAAAAAATTTTTATCTCGAATCTATTAGAAGTCCATATAGTTCGATATAATTAAGTTTGTTGATTACAAATATCACATCTTTTTAAGAACTATTCGTATAATAAGAAAGATATGAAGTACTTTCTGAGACCCGTAAAAACCAGTTTTTGATCTGAAGGTCCATGAAAATCCGATTTTGTTTCATTGAAAATAGGCTCATTCGGTGCAGAAGTTTTTTCTCCATCAGAATCTATAAGAATCTTTTAGGTATTGAAAACTTTTTCTATCCATAAATGTTGAATATCGCAGCGATTGTATCATATTGCGACAAAGAATGTTTTTTCCCTCTTAAGAAGTTATCATTATGCATGCGTGTCAGCGAGATTTTTTTTATCGAATATGCAATTTAATGTACTCTTTCTGATAAGACTATTTTCAGAGAAATATTCACTGTTTGGGCAGTTACTTTGCTCTCAAGACCATGTTTTTCTATGGGATATTACAATATAGGTATGGGCTGGATGAAGAATGTTGAAAATAGTCTCATTAGAAAGAGTTCATTGAGGTTACCTTTGTACTGTAAAAATCTCATTGATTCGTTCATGTAAACTGTAGTTTTGATAGAACTAAAAAAACACTGCTTATGACCATAGGACCTATCGGAGGCAGTATTCGTTAATTATCGATTAAAAAAATTATTATCTCTGAAACCTTCTTATATATTCTGATAGAGAAAAAAAATTCTGCATGGAATGAGACTGTTTTCAAATGAATTTTATTCGAATATTAATGATCCTATAAACCTAAAACTAATTTTTTAGCCATATAAAAACACCTAAGATCTTTCTTATTATTCAGCTACTATTGGAAAAAAGTGATATTTTCGTGATCAGCACCTTTAGCTCTATCGATCTGCATGGTCAATAAATAGAAAGAAGACAAAAAGTTTTTCGAATACCTGTGGGGACATCAGATACCGAAAAAATCGAGATCACAAAATGCAAAATAAAGCTGTAGAAAATGATCAGGATCTATTGACTAATAGAATAGAAATCATTTCTTGTAATAATCAAAGGAATTCACCTATTTTTCATAGGACCGCTGTGATTAGGAAACAAAATGGCTGGACGTCGTTATTAGGTGGCTTTTTTTTAATCGCTGTTAAGTGGCTTCTTTTTAAATTATGTATCTCAATACGTTCAAATTGATTTCTCATGGACCTTTTGATTATGGTAGAACCCTACATGATCTTTAAAATTGCCAAGAACACCATTGGTACTTTTCCGAATAGGAAACGTGAAATGTTTTTCTCAAAAGTTAACTTTTTGACTGAATTTTCATTATACCATTGTTATTCTCCGCCAAAGCTTGAAGGAGAAAAGTTATTCTGGCACCATTTGAAAGAGGAGACGTCAAAAATTATCCAAATATAAAATATTTGGGGATCATGTGAGAAATAGTTATGCGCGAAATCAAACGCTGTGAGACAGTATTTTACCGGCGTTATTAAAGAAGTTGACGGTACAAGAAAACATTGTCAATTGATTATTTCGATCGTATCCCAGACGTATACTAGAGTTGTCTTTTCTTCCATTTCATTGATCGCCAATTCAAACCTATCACTATGCTATATTGTGTCCTCACAATGTCTGTCAGATGTTCAAATCTATCGTTACTTCTCATTTCTGCTTGCTAGTTATAGTCAATCAGAGTGAGATCAATATATAGACCGAAGTAGACATTATAGTGTTTAAGACAATCATTCATGACGAACATTAAAAAAACATTTTAGACTAACCTAACGGATAATGCCGAAATTTCAGCCTAGTCATATCGTTCTATTTCTATATAATCGATTTGTTCATTGATCTGTAGCAGTTAGGATAAGACAAAGTGACTGTTCTATTCAAAATCGAAGCAAAATAATCAAACTATATTTCTCATCTACATTTATTTTAAGTGAAACATTATCTTCTGCTTTAAACATGATGAATTTTGAATTCTTACCCAACGAAATCTTACTTGATATATTCGAGTATCTGAATGGTATAGATCTTCTTCGTGCTTTTTATGGTCATAATTCTCGCTTCAATCTACTTCTTTACAATCAATTTCAATCATATCAATTTGATTTACTTTCTTGTTCAAAACATCAATTCGATATTATATGTAAACAACATTTACCATTTATTTCTAATCGAGTTACTACTCTTACTCTTTCTGACAATGAAGATACTCCAGGACAAATAAATCAACTTTTTTCTTACATACCATCATTTCATCAATTCATTCATTTGCGATCACTATCAATATTACACGTTCCTTCATATCACACATTGGTAAAAATTGCTGATGAATTACATTATCTTTCTAATCTCACTCGTTTAAAACTGAACATTTGTCATTTTGGAAATAATCAAGTGAATCTTCAATTAGTTGTTAACAGTATTTGGAGTTTACCAAAACTTATCAATTGTCATTTTACTGTTTGGGATAATGAACAACAAACTTTTACTCTACCCACAAAATTGTCAATATCTCTCAAAACTGTATATATAGTTGGACAAAAATTTAAATGGAATCAAATATATCCTTTATTTGAATGTACATCTCGTCTAGAATATCTTCGTATTTTTATTACTCCTTTCGACAATAATCATTATCAATCATCTCCTATTCCAACATTAATCAAATTGAACATAGCCTGTTATCGTATGTCTGATACATCAAAAATGATTTCATTCTTGAAAAATGTACCCAATTTACGTCATTTGGAGATCTCTATGGCATTTGATCTAATCAATGGTTATCAATGGGAACAAATCATTCGTAGTTATTTGCCGAAGCTTAAAATATTTAATTTGAGCATGTTTGATCAATTTCCAGACGATCAAAATATTGAAGAACGAGCTAATGAATTAATTAACTCTTTTCAAAGTTCATTTTGGATTAATGAATATAAATGGTTTGTTCGATGTTTTATATGTGATAAAATTATTCGTCTTGAAACTTCATCTGTAATATTTTATCATTTCGAAAAAAAAATTTCCTAATTGGTGGAAATCTACTTTTTCACATGACAATCATCTGAAATTTTATCATTGTATGACCAGCATCGATGATAACATAGTTTTTGATCAATCATTTCTATTTGATATTTTTCTGCAAAATATGTATTCTGTTTGCATAACATTTCCTATTAATAATCAATTTTGGTCCATTGTTCCAAGTTTAAAGACACTACGTTCACTTAGAATATTATCTTATACTGATACTTATCAATCTCAATTACAAGCTTTACTTGATCGTGCACCATATCTTTATCGTCTAGATATTAGACAAGAACTATCATTACCATTACAAATTTCATTATTCAAATATAATAATGCATCAGTTCGTCAACTTTGTCTACAGAAATATAACTATCGATTCAATGAAAAGGAATGTGATACATTAACTCATTCATCATTGGGTGTCCAATGTGAAATACTTTCCATTAAAGTTAAAAATCGCGAAAGTATTATTATTCTTGTTAAAAATATGATCAATCTTCGAGCATTACATATTCAATGTGAAGATGATGAATATTCTAAATATTTGTCATTAATAGAAAATGTTAATGAATCTCATCAGACAAATAAAACAAACAAAGACGAGTTAATTCAATGGTTAAAAGATTATTTATCATCGACATATTTGATTTCGAGAGATCCAAAATCTATCAATTGTATTCGACTATGGATTCGATAATGACAACAATAATAACTGTTTATCTTGAATTATCATAAATCTACATTCTTTTGAATAATTTGTTGAATTATGATCATACTCTTACTATTGAAAATATTTGTATTTATAAAAATAAAGTATAATACGTGATAAAATTTATTTTACAAATAATATCTATGCAAAGCTGATGAGCTATTCATAATATGATGATTGATCAAGACTGGTAAAATTTCAGTTGCAATCGCGGACGTAACCTACTAACTCCAGTAGGCAGTGAGTGACGAAGTAGATGAATCTGAAGATCAGAAGAGAGAAGATCCCTTCCAGTAATTTATGTTCGTTATTACGATCTGTGCGGGGAGAGGGGGAGCGAGTAAGGTCCAAAATATCTCGCTATACACTTAAACACTTCTTGTCAATCGTGTTTCACAAAACTGAGCAGTCGGTTCACCGCTGTTCACTGGAGGTTCTAATATAGATCGGTGGTTCTCAGGAAAAACAGACGACATGGGTAATAATACAATTCTTTCAGAAAGAAACAAAAAACGGGGGTGTGGGTGGGTGGAATTGGGATCTGGGTGTGTGGATGAAGATGTATGCTCACCTAGGGAATCATATCCGTCTTCACCCACATCTACGCCCAGATTCCACACACGCTCATACCAATACCTGCACCCACACCCAAAGGTACACCCATACCACACTTTGAACCACATCTTAGTTGACGATCGTAAACAACTGTTTTTTGCTTGTTTTGTAGGGACAGTATTATGACCGTTTTTTATTGTATTGTACACGGATGACGAGGATCGTAAACGGCCTGAAAATGGATTGTCCGGTCATTTACCGTCATTTGCAAAACGATGGAATACGGCCATAATGCTGTCACTACTAAACAGACAGAACAGAATGAAAAAAGTTCCCTACGGTCGTATTTGTTTGACATGGCATATAATGATAGCATAATTTGTTTTTATTCACGGACTATTAAATAATTAAATGTCGTGCTATAAAACTTTTTCAAACAACAAGATATTCATTTTCTCTTATGGATCAGGTTTCTATTTGTTTTCAATGTAAGTCATGTATGATAGACACATATTAATGAAACAAATGAGCTATGCACTAAACACATTCGTAGTTTACTTGAACGTGTCATTTGAATAGAAGCAAAATAGTCTAACTATTCATTCCACAATGCTGGTATTAAACCTATTAGTTGTATTTGTAATGCAATCAATGACAACATCTCAATTTAATATGTATCATATAGAAAATTATCCTGATAGATATTGTCTGGTATTTTTGACGGATAATTTGGGATCTGATCAGTCTGATGCGGATGAAATATTCATACCTATACATGATATTGCACCATACTGTCTTCGATTAGCAATGGAAGACTATATCGTGGTAACTTCTAACTTGGAGAATGTTACTGCGCCTGGTTATAGTTTTATTGAATTAAAAGAAAAGAATATTACTAGTCAAATGTTGCTTTCATGGTCTTCTACGATTGATCTAGCAGAACAATATGAAATATTTTTAATTAATAGTTTATCATCCTGGTCAAATCAAACATTCTACAATTGTACATCGTTCTGATTTGGACCATTCTGTCGGTTCAAGCTCGATTATAGTACTAGTCAATCATTCAATGATATTGTCAAGATCACTTTTGAGGTAAAACGGCCAATTGAAAACAAATCGAAAGTGCCATGTTATACACACCTACCTTGTCAAACATTCTTGTCATGCTTAGATTGGCGGGAAATTTGTGATGGAAACATAAATTGTGTGGATGGATCTGATGAAGAGAACTGTTGGCAACTGGCAGTTAGTCAATGCACTAATGAAGAATATAAATGTCGGAATGGGCAATGTATTCCGATGGAATTCGTTCATGATGCTCGAGTGTATGCAGATTGTCTCGATCGAACAGATGAATCATCAGTGACTTTGCGAAATTGTTATTTGAATCCTAGCTTTGCATGCGAAGAAAGTATGTGTCAACCTGGCTCTATGAAATTTCCCTGTGGTGATGGCGAGTGTTGGAGTAACCTTGACACTTGTTCAAATGGCCGTCCATCTGTAGTAACAGACGACTATTGTTCTAATGCTGTACGGTGCTTGTTGGGATTGCCCCCTAGAGATACTTGGTTTTGTCTGAAATGCAAAAAAGTACATTGTATAAAAAATAACTGTTCATCGGTATTTGAACTTCGCTCTATTCCTCCAATTTTTGGACATGTACGTCTGATGCTGTCGAATACAGTAGAAGATTTCTATGCTACACCTTCACTTATTTATGTATGTTATGATGAAAAACTTTGTGAGAATCTCTTTCTAATTACACAATACATCGGTAATCTTACCTGCCATCAATTTAACATTTCAGAAACGAGAGATTTAAAGGAAAGTTTGATTAGTGTGCTAATATATATTAAAAAACAATTTCGTAGATGTTTACAAGTTCAAAATAAATATGATTATTGTAATTATTCATCAATGTATCAGTGTGAAAACTCTAGAAAATGTATTTCAAAACAACAACTTCTTGATGGTTTCCAAGATTGTCCAGAGAATGATGATGAGGAATATAAACAAAGTTGTTCACTTGACGATGCTCATCAGCGCTTTCAATGTATAGGTGACGAGCAAAAATGTTTTCCATCACTAATCATTGAAGATGGCAAGAGAGATTGCAAAATTGGTGAAGATGAAGACTCTGCGTTCGCACAATACAGATTAAAATATATTTATTTCCCACATATATGTGATGGAAAAGCTGATTTATTACCTAGAGTAATTGAAGGGCAATATGAAAGTGATGAAACAAAGTATGAATATTGGCCATGTGATAATACTTATACGCGATGTAATAAAATTTGGAATTGTAAAAATGGAGTCGATGAAATGTATTGTCCACATTCTATTGGTTCTACATTACGAGGTTATTGCAAGTTTTCCAATGATGCATTGAATATGTCATGTTCATCAATCAATCAAACTGATGAACGAAACAATTCTCATATGCTTTTTTAGTTTGATTCTTCCGTATATCTTCACTGTTGGAATGATACAAAATCCATTCCTTACGTAATGTTTTGCGACCAATATATACCAAAATTCTGTGCTTTCTAAAATGTCGCTCCATTTTGTGGAAAATTCGGCTATGCAGACACATCT